AACTCCCCGCTAGTGACCTAAAATTCTTTGGATCGTGCAATTTAGGGCTGGATTCGTCGTATAAGTGTCCAGAATCCATCGGAATTCTTGTGATTTTTGCGTCATTCATTCCATATTGGTTTAAAAGGTCATCAATAAGATATTCTTGATCAATAAAATAATCTTCTTCGTGTTTGATGATTCTCATTTCCAAGACCTTGTTAGCTTCCCCCAAGTCCTTGATTTGTAAGCTTTTTAGTGAATAAACTGCTCGTTCACTAAGTCGTCATTGGTCCCAGTGACCAATAAATGATCCACATATGTTCCAACGAGTAATATTCCACGATCATCCTTCTTATAGAACAAACATGGTTCAACAATCGATTGCTTCAATCCCATATCGATCAATTTTGTACTAAATGACCGATTCCACAATCTACCGGCTTGTTTTAAGCCGTAAGTAAAGGCTTTGAAGTAGTAACAATACGGTTTCATTTACAGAATTCACGCCCAACTCCTTCAATACTTGATTACGTATATCCATCCCTTGTGGGATCTTAATATAAATGGGGAATTCCTCTTCAGCGGATGCTTTAACGTAAGCATTAGGCACATCTCCGTATCTAGCTGGTACCTTCCAGTGTTGCGCCATTGCCAAGATCACTTTGGCAGAAATAATTTCCATGACAGGCGCATATGTAAGCATGAAATCCTCACCAAAGACTTGTTCATTTCCGCATGCAACCATTCTTGCTTTGTGCCTTTCTATTTCACCTTGTGCGTTGGTCTTGGTCTTAAATAACCATTTGGTATTTAGTATTTTCAAGTCTTCTGTCTTCATCACTGGTTTCCACGTGCCGTTCTGCTTTAATGAGTCAAGTTCGTACTTAATCGCAACGATCCATAGGTCTTTATCCTTGGTCTTCATTTCTTGATTGTAAGTTCTAGGATCGTTGATCAGTCTCCTCATTGCTCTGTTGTTTTGAAGTTTGTCTTGTAATCATCTTCTCAGCAGGTTTCCTATTGTTCTTCTTGTTCGAAGCCTTGTTCGACTTGGTCCTCTTTGCCACTTCGGTTTCCTTGTATCCTGATGGGTGCTGGTCATCCATTGCTCCTCCATCGTCCTGATTTTAAAGCACATTCTGTGCTCTCGCTTGCAACTCTGCATTTTGGGCTTCCATGAACCTCTCTATGGACTTCAAGTGAGTGGTGATAATCGCCTTCTTCGAGTCATGTAGGTAAACTATGTATCATTTGATTTTTTCTGAAATCCCCAGGATGAAACCTGACTCCGAACGCTGCTTTAGAGCTGATTTTGCTTTTCCTGGGTCTCTAAACACTCTGAATTGCGATCCGAATACAGCTATATCTCAGACGCTTGCTGTGCTGCCAGTCAAAGCCTCAATTGGTGACGTCCTTCCAGCATTCGATCTTGTTGAGCTTCTGTTCAGGATGTAGCTCGCGTATTTCACGGCGTCGCCGCAGAATTGTAGTGGGAAGTTGCTGGCAAACAGCATGCTTCTCGCCATACCCATGATTGTTCTGTGCATTCGTTCGGCCTTGCCGTTCGACGCTTGATTGTAAGGTTCCAACATTTGCCTCTCTACTCCAGACTTGTTGCAGAACCAATATACGTTGGCATACTCGCCACCCCCATCAGTACGCAGCACGCTAACCTTGCAATTAGATCGCATCTCGAAATACACTAACAAACTGCTTCGCTGCTTGATCCTTAGTTTTAGACAGGAATACTCGACAATAATTCGTCTTATGGTCGACGAACTTGATCAAGTATCTATTGCCCAATCTATCCCTTGGTGTGATAGCGCCCTTGATATCACTTACTATTACACCTCTAATGCGACTGATAGGTGCATTGGATCCTGTATCATTTCTGGGCTGCTTGTTTCTTGTCTGCTTGCCTTAGTGGCAAGCTACACAGACTTTCCGTGTATCATTTGTATTTCTATGCCTGAATCTGTGTTTTTGGCGTGTCGTAGGCCGGATGTCCCAAACGCTGGTGCAAGTCAATCAGGGTGTCCCTCACAGGGGCTATACTGTCTTCCTTTGCATTCGATGTGAGTGCTGGGAGCGCTGTCTCGGTCGGCTCTGGTTCATCGCATGTATTCCCTTTGACTCTACACTCCACTGTGAGCACTTTGTCCCTTTTAATCACGTCTGTTACATCTCGTCCACTGCCGGTGTTGTGTAAAGTTCTATGTCCATCTTTGTACTGCAATACACATCCTTTCTCTTCCAATAGACCATAAGAGAGCGGGATGTTTGACAATCCCTTGATGTAACGTACACTCGTGAGTAGTACCTCTCGTTCAATGTTACTCACTGTGCAGGTGAGCGACACGGATTCTTCTAAGGTGGCTTTGAGCTTGGTAACGTCTGGGATGGTACAACTAATGTCTATTTTTCTCGTACTGAATAACCACGATGAGTTGCCGATTAAGTGCTGACTGGATTCCGAATCCAGTATTCACTCAATCACCTCTTCATTTTGATTTTTGTCACGACCTTCCGACCATCCATCATCAAGTAGTGAAAGTGCAAACTTGCCTTGTTTGTCGCCTTTCGATGTATAACCTTGTTTAGTAGAACGAAAATCCGTTGCATGATGACCCTTTTTCCCACAGGCATAGCACTTGCCAGTTGTAGTTTGACTGTAATTCGCTGTATTCTGCCTAAGAACCTTGCCTAGATGCGTGTTTCATTCACTGTCCACGTGTTGAGCAAAATGGGTGAGTTTCTCTGCTTGCCGCAGGAAATCCTTCCATGTAGGGTCATACTTCGCCATCAGCACACACCTGCTTTAACTCAGGGCATGCGAACTTCACAATGTTCTCTAGTACTAGGTCGGTTATTCCACCTGCCACAGCTGACACTGCTGTGAGGTATAAGTAATGTTCTGTCCATGATCTAGATTTCTATTTTTTGATAGTAAAATCTTTGTAGCTTGGGTTGTTGATATATTACATGCAAAAGCCTTGGTGAGTTGGTCAATGGCATGACCAAATGAGAAATTCTCATCCCACCATTGATGGATTCCTCTCTGGAAATATTC